CTGAGATCTGGGCGAAGACAGAGCACTTCTTCCGGGAAGATAATCTCACCCGCTCGTGGCTTGAGCGCGAGACTCAGCCCATCTCCAAATGAGTGGTCTGCGGTGTTGATGGACCGTGATCTACATACCTCCTCCAAATGCTCTTGATTAGACGGCATTATGTACAACACAGCCTACAGTACCCTTCAAATGCTGTATCTAGACATGAAAAATTTAGAGTGACGTAAAATGCCAAAAGTCGTTAGCAAGAAACACAGTAACACTATGACCAGTGTGTTAGAAATCCAACTATTCTGTGTTGGGAACCGTCACATAGAAGATCGACAACTGGCCAGTATGGAATGTGGGAAGCTCTGGTGGAGCCTGACACTCGGCGCCCCGGTCTGTTTCAACACTATCACCACGGCATCACTGAATTGCTTCCTGCGCTCCCTGTATCTCAAAGTCAAATTCAAGAATGCTCGCAACTCCTCACCAACTATCGCGCGCAAGTCACAGGACCCAAGACGGAACCTTTCTGGCCGACTGCCTCACGCCAGCCCCTTGTCACAGCCCACCAACGCTTCCATACTGAACCGGAACACCCCGTGATTAGCGGGCATCATTTACAATGAGCGGCCAAAACGGTTATGTTAATGGTTATGGCTACTCAGGTCCAGGTCGATACGATGCCGACGATGGGGGATACGGTGGAAACAGCAACCCTGGGGTAAACGGATACGGTGGACGAAGTGCCGCACCACCAGGTGGAGGTGGACGATCTGAACGTCGCCCCGGCGGATACGGTGGTTTCTACGCTGACTCGCCTCAGACGTCGGCTCTATCACCAGGTCAATCTCCTGCACCAAGCCAGTCGCCTGAGCGGCGGCGCGATCGAACAAACCGGGACTGGCAGCAACCCTCCCCGCAACCGTCTTCGAATCCCTCTTCGAGGTCACGCACAAGGAATCGGGAACCCGACAGGAAGTACCGGGAAGAACGGTCTAGAGATGGAAGTCGGTACGCGGACAACAGGGACCAGAGAGAAAAAAGGGAACAGAGGAATGCGTCACCTGTGGCCAAGATGAGCAATGACTCGGAGGAATCTCAGGCCATTGAAAGTATGTTTTTTTCTGTTGCTTAGCCTAACCCGATGGCTAATATGGCCACCTTTTACAGCGATTCTCCAGTCTATCCAGCGCGACTGGGATTTCATGACTGATGCCGAGTGTGTCCCGGTACACGTTGCTTTGAGTTTGATGGACACGAGTACATTGGGCAAAGCAGATCGTGAACCGGAATTCTTGCATATGTACAATGTCATTCAGAAGACACTGAAGGCAATTGTCAATGGTAGGTCCTCTCTGCAGTGCTTAGGACAGGCCTATGCTAAAATTGTATGTCATAGAACACCACCAGGGTTTCAATAGTTCTATTGGAACATACCACAAAATCCAATCCAACATCTCTTCCTCGCAAACTCGAGTGCGCAGCCTGAGACATGCTTTGGATCAGGCCAAATCCGGGTTAATATCGACCAAGCCCGAGTTGAAAGGGCTGGCAACGTCTTCTCAGAAATACGATGATATCGTACAGTTGTTTACTCAAATTGAGGAGATTCAATCCCTTCCTGAAAAATTGGAAACTCAGATTTCAGATAAGCGATTCCTTGCAGCTGTGGATGTGCTTCACACTGGTCTCCGAGTTCTACGGCGTTCGGAGCTGGAGGAAATCGGCGCTCTATCCGACATTCGAGCTTATTTCATAAACCAGGAATCATCACTCACGGACATCCTGATCGAGGAGTTGCACGACCATTTGTATCTTAAATCACCCTATTGCTCGGACAGATGGAAACCACCCACCTCTGACGAAAAAGAAGTGCAGACATCCAACTTGGCCGGTAGTCGCTCTTGGGAACGGCCTGTGTATAGCTTCCTGGGCAAGTTCGATCCGTTGACGCCTATGGTCGAAGACGCCTCTCGGAACCCAGAGGCCGACACGTTTTCCTACATTCAGTTATTGATTGAAGCGCTGAACAAGTTGGGCCATCTTGACGTCGCGGTTCATAAGATTGAGCAGCGTCTTCCGGTCGAACTATTTGCTGTGGTGGACAAGACCAACGCAGAGGTTGATACTCGTTATCCTGCGCCAACCAAGAGCTTCTCAGCCCAGGACAACTACAAACAGTCCAGTCTCCCCACTGAGATTATAGAAAAGCGAGGCCATGTGCTTTCTGAGTTTTTATGGGCGTTATATGCCAAGTTTGAGGCAATTGCGGAAGGCCACCGAATTCTTCACGATGTTGTTGCGGCCATTGTGCAACGAGAAGGCCTAGTTAAAAGCGAGACACTCTCTGGAGGCTTCAAGGAGTTGTGGAAACTTTTACAAAGCGAGGTAAGATGCCAACGGCTAATGCTGAAATCACGGAAATTAATTTGTTTTGCCAGATACGATCTCTCATGCACGACTATCTTGCAACCGATGGGGACTCTTCTATTCGATCTAGAGTAGAGGAGAATGATTCTCGACGCCATCTATACACAGGCAGCCGCGATAAAAATAAGGTAGGAAGACCAGCCATATTTCATTTATTTGAAGTAGCTGACTCATTACGTTATAGAAAATGTTCAAGTTGTCCGATATCGAGCATAATTCTGAGATGAAAGCTGAACAAGATGAACTGGATGAAATCCTCAAGTCCTCCGTCCCGGGACTTGTTTCCAAGTCAAGGCAAAAGACTGCAACAAATGACACTACGCAATCTAACAAGGGTAACTCAGGGACCGGGCATAAGATTTTGCTTGAACCAAGCGTCTTCAACATGGGAATCCTTCTTCCACCCTCTCTATCTTTTATCCAACGGCTCAAGGATATCGTTCCTGTTGATGCGGATATTTCCATGGGCTCTTTGACCTCCTTTTTAGATGACTTCATGGTGAATTTCTTCCTACCCCAATTGGATGAGACAGTGACGGATCTCTGCACGCTCAGCTTCATTTCCGCGGATGCATTTACAGAAGACCCCCATTGGGCCAAGGCTTCTCCCCGACCCATCTTCAAAGGAACGGTCAAATTCATGTCCATCGTTCGGGAATTTAGTAAAATGCTGTCGAGTATTCCACATGATCAAGCATTTACACAGCTTCTTATTGACCAGATCGTGACTTATTATGACAAGTGCTGTGGATGGTACAAAGCAATGGTCGCGAAAGTCTCTGCACGGAACCGTGGAGACGACATTCGACTGAAAGCTGCGGCCACCTTTGCTGAGTCAGGCGACATCCATGATGTTGTGAAAGAACTGTGGAAAAATGCTGGAGACAAGAAACAGATCCTGATTGATACAGAAATCGATCTGCTTCTCAAGCGAACGGGGCAAGTGCCATTGGAGCCTTACGACATCATATCGGATCCAAAAACTGTTATTTCCCTTTCGCTCTTGTACAACAGCATGCAATGGCTTGCAAGTCACCTCGCGAGAATTCGACTTGTGGTTGAACCTACCGTGGATGCCGAGTCATCCAGTTTGACTGCAACTGGCCGGCCATCTCGTAGATGGACTTTGTTCGGGTCCATGAAACCCAACCGCGATAGCATCAATAACCCGGTGCATTTGCCACTCAACTACGAGACTGCCGTGGCCTTTGACGGGACGCTCCAATCATTACACCGGCTTGGGGATACTGCAATCCTGACGATGCATGTTGACATCCGCTGTGGCATCATCCACATGTTGACTAGAACAATGTCCGGGCCGAGCCCTCCTAACTTGCGGAACTCCGAACCTATCACTCCATCCCCTACCATGACTGATAACTGGTGGCACATTATCATGAACCAACCCACCGCTGCGTCACCCACAATTCTCGCACTCAACAGTGATCTCATCGCATTTGACACCAATATCTCGACATATCTGGGATCTGTTGAGCGCTGGTTTATAACATCTGGCCTGGCACGGTTTATCGATCGGGTCTTTATCGCCTGTACCCAGTACATCGGGGCTATGAACGAGAATGGAGCGTTGCGACTGCAGCTTGATGTGCTTGTTCTCCAACAAAATTTGAAGAACATCATCATCAATCCAACTGGTGAACCGTCAGATTCAGCTACAGATCTACACGCGCAGGCTTCTCAAGAAATCGTCGCCCTACCACGTAGTGCAAAGTTCCTGGACTGGTTCCTAGAAGGCGCCGAGAAGACTCTGGACTACGCTCAGGAAGAGAAGAAGACTTTTGCGTCGCAGGGCGACAAGGCCTTGGCTGCTGGAAACGGTGAGCCGTTTTCCTACGAGGAGCTACGTGTTCTCGTAGACTTATGCTTCTCTGAAATTCTCCGTGGTCCGCGCGGGGTGGAGAGCCGAGAAGACTTTATGTCGGCGAAAAAGGCCAGTGCGGATGCGCTACTGAGGCTGAACGAGATTATGTGGGATGCTCGGTAGTCCTCTTCTTTACTCTGTACTCTTGATTCGCTTCCTTTAGCCAGCAAATCCACTAATAGCCGAAAACTGAATCTCATTTCATCTTGACTCACAGTCATTTCCTCTTTTCTCCCTCTTTAATTTAAACACCCTCCACTAGCCCTAACTCGGTATAGTGTAACGGCTCAATCTCCCTTTTCGGCTTCTCCGGGGGATTTATACTGGCTGAGAGATCCACGCCATGTTTCAGCTTGAGAGTGTAGTTCTCTACAGTGAAATGAACAAATTACTAGTTTATCAAGCCATATGCAGGAGTATGACCATAGATGCACAGGGCGCCTAGACTCTTATATCACACCCGTTCTGTCATTTCTCTCTCCCTCCTCATACCTTCTTTTGCTTCCTTGGCACTCCATCCTGTCTGGAACAGTATTTCTCTCGAATCTGGCATTCGTTATCCAGACGTCCATTCTTTTGTGCACCCTGCACGTCCTATCATTAAGAGTCAGCCTGTGACTTTCATTCATTCGATCTACCATACTCGAGATCCTGTCTTACACAATCCCTTCATTCTTTACTTACATCTACGTATTCGACGATGAAGTATCTTCGCCTAGCCTCTGTGGTCGCTCTTGTCAGCGCTGCTACTGTGTCCGCTGGTCCATTAGGCGCCCGCGAACAGGACGGATCCTGCCCCAAGGGCTACACTATGAGCGTCTACTACAAGACCATCACTGTGGAAACATACCCAGCTGCGACCTCTGTAGAGACTACATTTACCCCGACATCTACGCCGGTCATTGTCGAGTCCGAATCCTCCGCTGAGCCTACAGTGGCCTCATCGTCTACTGCGATTGCCGTGGATACTACGACATCTTCAGTCTCTGCTGTTGAGACCTCCACTGCACAGACATCTGCCGCTCAGACATCTGCTGCTCAGGCCTCTGCTGCTGAGACATCTACCGTTGAGACATCTACCGTTGAGACATCTACCGTTCAGACATCTACCGTTGAGACCTCCACTGCACAGACATCTGCTGCTCAGACATCTGCTGCTCAAACTTCTGCTGCTCAAAATTCTGCTGCTCAGGCCTCTGCTGTTGAGACATATGCTGTTGAGACCTCTGTCGCTGAGGCTGCAGTTGTCAAGACCGCCCCAGTCGTGGCTGTTCTGCCCACTACGTCAACTGAGATTGCTGCTGTCATCAAAACCGTTGCTGCTCCAGCCGTGGAGACCACCGCCGTGCAGACCACCGCTCAAGCCCCCGTCGAAGTCGCCAGCACTTCCACCAGTCAAGCTACTGTCCAGGCTGCCAGTACCTCTACTCAGTCTGCTCCTTCCTTCTCTGCCACCAAATCTGCAATCAACAAGTCTACCTCTGCCGGTTCCTCCAGCGGATCTGCCGGCGAAGCCACCTTCTACGGCGGCAACCTTGCTGGCGGAACCTGCTCGTTCTCCGGCTACACTCTCCCGAGTCACCTCTTCGGCACGGCCCTCTCCCTCCAGCGATGGGATGATGCCGCAAACTGCGGTACCTGTGTGTCCGTCACTGGACCAAAGGGTAACTCCATCAAAGCAATGGTAAGTCAAGCATCTCCTCTCCTCCCTTTCCATGCTATTCCGTCCTATTCCGTCCTAACGATGACCCAACCCAGATCGTCGACCAATGCCCCGAATGCGAAAGCAACCACCTCGACCTTTTCCAAGACGCCTTTGCCGAACTCTCAGAAATCTCCGCCGGCGTCATCCCAACCACCTGGTCATATGTCTCTTGTGATCTGGATGGGCCTTTGAAACTCAAGAACAAGGAGGGCACATCTGCCTACTGGTTCTCGATGCAGGTCGTTAATGCCAACGAGGCTGTGACTGCGTTGGAGGTTAGCATTGATGGCGGTAGTTCATGGAAGAGCACGACCCGCACTTCGTACAACTTCTTTGAGAACAGCGCTGGGTTCGGGACTAGCACCGTTGACGTTCGGATTACCGGCGCTAGTGGCAAGACTGTTGTTGTCAAGGATGTCGGGGTTAGCTCTGGCTTCGAGGTCACTGCTGTGTCGAACTTGTAAATCCGGGGTTGAGGAGAGATGTTCATTTTCTTCTGTTTATATTCTATAGCTAGGTGGTTTGGTGAAAGGGTTCCCGTGTTAGAGATTTACATAGTCCAATGCAACCGAACTAATCCATAGCAATGTCGATCAACGAGGTCGCTCTCTTTCTCTGAGATTTATATCCATGTATATACATGGATATATACATGTATACATATATAAGTCATTGGCTTTCTATCATAAAAGCCGTATTGGCTGGCAAAGAACTAGTTGTACACCCAACAGTCATATAGTAGGCCATGATGCAACACGCTAATGAATCTGTCCTCCTGCTATGCATACACTCCGCAGAATCTCACATCCGGCAGATGATTACTGCGTCTTCACTTCCTGGTCTACCTCGATGTGTTCCACGTGCGGGTTTGAGTCCAGACTGTGGACTGTACCCTTGGGGAAAGAAACACTATCAACAAGACCGAGCATTAGCCATCTTCCCTACCGGATAGAGTGTCGATACAACTTACACAAAGCCCTTGATCAGCGAGTATTCGTGTCCGATGATGCCACCTTGCTCCTTAGCATGGTACTTGACGCTAAAGAGACATGAATCAATAAACATAGTGTATCTCAAATGTGGACGTGAGATCCATACGCCTGAACCTGGTCGTCGGTTGCGTCGGGCTTGCACGTGATCTAAGAGGGTTAGCAAGCTGTATGTATGTTACGAAGCTAGTATTGACTCACAATGTAGGAAGACATGTTGAGATAGTAGAAATGCGGTTTATGGTAAGAAAGTGGGAGAAATCTTGGACGTAGAGGGGATTAAGTAGAAAGGTAAGACGAGCTGGCTGACATCATAGAATAGAGGGGTAGCCCCATTGATGTGTTGTCTCCGTGAGTCAGCGAATTAAAGCGAATTATATGATTGCAGTGGCTTCTTCCAAGGTTACAACTCAACTTCAATGCCTTCTAGAGGTAGAACTCATAGCTCTGGGCTACCTACATGTAGGCAGTCACCAGTCAATGACGCAACCCTAGGTATACTTCTCAACCGTCTCTTACCGCGTGACTTCATCCCGACGCGGGGGAGATGTCCCAATCCACGCCATCTACCCAAATTGTGACATGGTGAGAGCCGATATACGCCTAAATATACAACTACAACACGATTCCTACAAGAAAGAGTCTAGGGAAAGAGATAATTTAATAGTTTCAAACAGACTTGTCAACCCGCAGCTCCATTCCAAGGCAAACCCATCCCAGCCGTAGATTCGCCAGCCCACAATCCATTAATGATGGAATAAAATAAAGCAAAAAAAAGAAACAACAACGGATAAAGCCCGAGTGACGTGCAAAGACCGCAAATGCGAGCAGAGAATGATCAAAGGAGGTAAGCAACAACAGGAGAGAAATTGTGTAGACAAAGTTGTGGGGGTAGATAATGGGAATACCAGAGGCAGACCGCCTTGCGAGGAAACGAGGGGTAGTGAGAAGTTCATGGGGAGGTTACATTGATAGGAGGAAACATCCATGGTAGTAAAAGTAAGTATCTGTCAACAGTAGAATGGCAGATTGGAACAGCAGAGAGAGATGAGGGTATGTTCAAGTCTTGACCTCCGGAAACACAACAAGTCGTAGCACATGCAGAAGAAAAAGGACGATTAGCCTAATCCATCTCCAGTGACTCCAGCTCTTTTGACTCCTCGTAATCATCAAAGTCCAGGCCAGCATCCCGGCAACGCGTCAGCCACTTCAGGGCAATGTTGTTACGTCGGGCGACCTCGCTTTTAAGCTTGGAGTTTGAGCCGCTGATCTCGGCGATAGCGTGATTAGCAGTAAGACTGTGCTTCTCAAATTGCTCGTCGATGTTCTTCTTTTCTTCCTGGAGCTGCAGGATATATTCAATGGCACGTTGGAGGATCGCGCCCTTGTTTTTATCGCAGTTCGGCACAAGACGAGCAATCTGGTTGATACCTTCATTGATAGCTTCGCGGCGGCGACGTTCAACTAGGGGAAGCGGTTAGTATGCAAACACGAAATCGATCAATAAGGCGATTCATACCTTCTTTGTGATTGTTCTTGCGAATTTGGTGCCATTCAGGAGAACCGACGGTAGGCTTCTGGTTCATACTCTGAGCCTCGCGTGCCGCATAGACCGCAGCAGCCGTCGAATTATGGTTGTGACCACCACCCATGGGAGTCTGATTCATCTCATCGCCAAAGGATAACCCTTGCGTAAGATTGCTCGCATCGAACCCGGAATCCGGAGGAGGAGGGTACTTGTGTTGAGGAGTGTGTGCAGCCAAGGCGGCTTTAGCATTGGCGGTCAGCGCATTGTCGTCGGACAGGCCGTTCTGCGGACCGACATGCTGAAGAATTTGTTGATCAATGTTGAGTTCGGCCCCAGTGTTGGGAAGTCCGTGGTCGTAGTTTCCAAGCCCTCCGTGGCCGAAGTTGTGCTGGTTATCCATACTGCCGTTGCTTCCGTGGGAAGAGCGGTTAAGACGTTGCGAGTCGGGACCTAGATCCTCGGAGCCATCTCTCTTGCGCTTATGCGAGCCATTATCTGGGCTATTCATGGTGGGATCAGACATGCTGAGCCCTAAAGCTGATCGTCCTAATCATGGTAGTGGTTAGTGGCCAGCACATGAGAAGTAAAATTGAACAAGCCCCGGAGAATAAGAGAATAAGAGAAGAATGTGTGATTGAAAATGTCAATACAGCCTGCGGTGAGTAGGTGCCTGGCAGATCAAGTCTCTCTCGGGACAATCAGTTGGCAGCCCGTGAAGCAAACAGACGCGTTGATCCGACGCGCTTGCAGGGCATCCCAGAGAGGCCGGCCACGTTGGACTCGGCCATCGCCAGTAGATTTTTCTGGTGAGCAGCAGTGCATGGGAATAGTTCTACGGGGTAATAACGTTGTCAAGCGATCGCATATGATGCGATGCCTCGAAACATCCGCAGGGTCGCAGACATTGGAAACGCGTCATGATGGCTTGCAGGCAGCGGAGGTCACACAGGGGGGAGGGGGGGGTGGTAGCATCGTGAGGGGCACCACTTGCGATGAGCATCACGACGCGAGGTGCAATAACATGGGGGGATCTTGATGAAGATGGAGCATCGATGGAGCCGTACCTTGGGATGATCTCTCTTTATCACCTGACAGAAAGTCACCTGCCCGACAACAACAAGACTCAAGTCACGTTGTCTGCGAAACCCCGAATTTGATGCAGAAATGCAAAAAGTTGAAAATTTGAGCAAGCCGATATCGAGATCTGCAAACGATTTAACAAAATCCCTCGGGGTAAATTTGAAAATAAGAAAAGTTGTTTCTTGAGGAGAATGTAGAGCAGCGGACAAGTTCAAGATGGATTGCTCACGTGGCAAGGAGGTGGTCGAGAGGAGGAGTCGCGCTGAATCTGGTGGACCAGAACAACCAAGAGTGCAGTAAATCACCTGATTTCTCTATTCAACAATACACACTGACGTAAGCATGCCGCATGCCGCATAAGAGCCACCTGGAAACCCTGGAGGTCTAGACAAATTTGCAATCACAACCCCCCAAAAAAAACCGACATCAGGAGCTGAAGATAATTAACTAAAATGCTTGAATAGTCCTGGGGACTCTACGCCTCCATCTCCCATCGGAAGTCATGTGTAGCCACCCCGTGCCCCTCCGCTGCACACCTACTTTGTTGGTCTCTGATTGGCTGCCGGGTCTCGGGGAAGGGATTCCTAGATCACGTGTAGAGGTATCTTATGGACCAATCGCAGGTGCTAAATCACCAACTGCGACGGGGTGATCAGACCGTCAGATACAATGAGCTTCATAAATCCACACTATTAGCAATTATATGGGCGTAGTGGAGACATATTAGAAGCCTACTAACCACATGCAACATACCCGGCATTGATCCGAAATGACTATCATCCTTGTTTCCCTGCAAGTGATCATACTAGAGCCACTAGTGTATAGGATGCCACCTTCCACTTGAATCAGGAAATACAACAGGGAAATATCCCAGGACCATGGTAGCTGTGGAAAACAAGGTCATGCATCATGTAGTGGGTGTACCGGTCTAGATCCTGATATAACACGAGATTCTTTTTTTTTTCCAATTCACTCCTCTCACAGGATCCATCGTTCGTAGTTCTCCTCGGTTTACCTCTGATCCCTCATCTGAGTGGAGAAGAGGAGAATCACATGTTTCAGACTAAGCATCCTGAAATAGCATTTCCCAAGCCCTTCCCACCACCATGTCTCCCAAGGGTTGCATCGGATGTCTAAAATGGTCTTCCCTAGTACTTTGTCTGCACAGTGATGGGCATGAAGACTGAGTGATCATAAGACCGCAGGATTCCACCCCGATACGATCTTGAACTAGAAATCTCAGCTTTCTGTCTGAAGATTGCGACGATCTCGCTGATCCTCTTCCATATGTCACCACGTTTGAGTTCCCTACCACACGGGTCCCCTCCACATGATGCGCCTGTGGCAATCGGTAAAGTTTCCATTTTGGCAGGGAGGATCGCCATCACATTGAGCAATATACACCGTGTGTTCTGGGATTGGGGGGTATCACAGAATCTCGGGTGACCGAAATACACTTCCTAACGTCATGTCGCAAGAGTGGATCCTCGATCTGTTCATAGACTCTGCATTATCTGTGGAATAGTTTGACGCGTCCAGTTACGCCACATCACCCGGAAGCCTTTTTCAGGGCAAAGACCATTTGTGCATCCGCCGTAGTATCCGCAAAACAAACACCTTCCTCCGCGGCGCCTAGCATGTCCCAGCAAAGTATCTTGACGTCGAATGGGACGCCCGCATCCTCTCTCTCACTTTCCTCATCCGGGGTGTGTGCACCTGACCCTGTATCTTTCTCCGCAGCATTAAGAGTGGGCCGTTGGGTCACCGCAATAATAGCGCTGGTCCCCGCATATCGCGCCGGTGGCTTGGTATCCTCTGTTGGTGGCTCCTCGCCCGACCGATTAGAAAAGACTATGACGATCTTCTTCGGAGAATCTGCCACCTTTCCGCCGTCAATATCCACCTCATGTTGCATCCTCTTTTGTAACAGGGGCCAGAATCGCTGAAGCCAATAGTTGAAAGTTTCCATCTCGGGCTTATCCTTCAAGGCATCGAGCTCTTCCCGGTTCAGCGTGGTCAACCAGGCCATGGACAGAATGACAAGCTGGGTCTTGGAGTCAAGAACTCGAGTTGCAAATTCCCATTTGGTGAATGGCGCCTCAAACTTGTACGGATTGATATCCATGCAAATCCCAAGGGAAGTCGCGACCCGCTTTTTCTCGGATAGAATCTGCTCACCCTGCGGCGCCGGGTTGGGTAAGGTAGACAGAGTGCCCTGGGAAGCGAATTCTAGCTCATGAAACCCTCGTTCAAGTTGCCCTTCGGCTGCCCACGTTTCATCGGTGTAGTACAAGAAGCTTTTGCGGTAGTTGAGGATGAACTCCCCATTCTCGTCGACTACCAGAAGTGAATTATAGTATGCGGCTTTGTCGGGATTCTGAGCATCTTTCTCAATCTCCGGGTACCCCACGCAGACCTTGCATCGTAGGTGTCTGGCAATTTCGCGCGCCCACGAGGCAGAGGGGCCATCACCTGCTGGCTCGAGATATGGCATGATCGCTTCCAACGAAGGGAAGTTATAACCTAGTAATTCATTAGCGAGTGACATTCTGCCGCAGCTTGAAGTGAATGTTAGAGACGGGGGGAAGACGGGGGTTTATCCGGTTCGATTCGCTGGACGGTTTGTTGACACGGTACGTACCCGTCATCGCCAACTCAGGCAGCACCAAGATATCAGGCTTCAACACATCGACCCCAACCCCGAGCTCCTTTCCATCTACCATTATGGTCTTGCCATTCTTCAACAGAGCATTTGCCTTCTCAATATTGCCGTGGAGATCGCCTAGCTTCGGCGCGAATTGAAGAGTAGCAATTCTCATCTTGTGAGACGATGGGATTTGAGAAATTTCTGAAGTGACGAAATACGAATGGTTGCGTAATCTGAAGCTGTTTCGTAAATCGTGAAAGAGATGAATTTGAAGTCAATGGTGTTGTTGACGTGGAGGCATGAAGCGTGTGTCTTCTGGTCCCAATACGGACACAGCGGGGCAGGATTTTCGCCACAATAATGACGGCTTAGAATCGTGAACGATATCTCATCATACCCCAGACGATGATTTACATACCCTGATCTTCGAGTCCAGTTCAGGAGCAATCCCTTTTGGTGTGTAGTTCATTTGAAAGTTGATGCCTCAGGGGTGAATCTCCCTCGGTTTCTAGCTTCACCAGCACAGGCAGTGGACCTTTCACCTCTTTCAAAATTGTCGAGGATCGCACCGTAGAGCTGTATGGGCTATGAAATGTATAAAGAGTACGCCACTCGCCGGATACACATCTTCAAATGCGATCGGTACGGTATACCAACGGCAAGAAAGGGTTTGCTCTTACGAAAGCCACTCAAGGTCCGGAGAAGGCAGACAATCTTCGCCGCGGCGAGCCGAAGTCTGAACAAGTGGATTGGTCACCCGAGACGTTTCTTGAAGAACACAATGACATTCTCATCGGCTATTCGCACATAGCAGGTCATGACGAAGTGCGAAGTCAGGCCCAACCCGTGTTGCGTTCTAAGGAGCCTTTGGTAAAAAAAAAGGTGGAGATGCTGCAATTCAAGCGCCACAGGAGAGTGGACCTTTCACATTTCGGGGGTGCGATAGTGACTGTGAATCCTTTTTTGTTTATCCTTGTTCAATGCGAGATGTCGGGCAATTATGTCTGTGCGTTTCAAGAATTTCGATGCATGTAGTGGCCGTGTAAATACCACAGAGGATTTTAGATCACCCAGGCCTCCCAGGGTTGTTGCTCCCATGCTCTTATACAAACGTAACAGAGACTCCCACCTTATCTGTGATGTTTCAGGACCGTCAAAGTGTTTCTTCTGGGCTGGACCTCAAGAGGATTCGTTTTTTTTTTTCCCGATGGTGCATTCATCCATGGATTTCTCGTGCATGTATGCCTGTTCACTATTTTGCCCCTCTGTGCACTTTTTCGTCTTCCTCCATCTCGTTTCCAATTTTCCTTTTCCATTTCTGTACACCGATCTCAGATGATTCCTCAACAGGAGGCCACTTGTTTTTATAGGACTCTGATGGATAACCATCTTCGTTGAAAAATCGGGGGTCATCCTTCCCAGCGCTGCCACCATTCCGATGGCATAGGTCCTCGTACATCGATCTGCTGAGCCGCTATCTGGTCCTCATCCATAAAAAATCGGTGCCAAAAATGGCCTGCACTCCAATGATCTCTCAGATGGCCGTAGCAAGACTCCAGATATTCGAGGGATATACGAGCGCGAGTTGTCATTCGAACGTGGCTTCTGAGACTATACAAAGTGCAGTTTCAACACAAAAAGGGAGAACTCTGCAGTCTTGCTTTAGTTGAACAGGAACAGTTAAAGTCGACACAACTTCACCCACAATCTAAGCGAGGAAACCCTCCATATTAACAATGTAGGATCTAAATCCAGCATTCACTTGACAGGATTACCAATCAGCGTAGACGGGAAATAGGGAGCCCGAAGACTACGTTTCCATCGTTGCAGTTGATGCTAGATCTAGGAATTATCTGTTTCTTCCGCAGGTATAAGCTGTGAGATGATGTCTTCTATTGTAAGCCGCTATTCATTGGAAAGGTCATTCAATCGGAAAAGAAATCCCGAGATTGAATCTGCAACCTATCTCACTATTGTACCCTGTTCATCATCTCGCAAAACCTCCAGCAGTGGCTGAATTCACAAGTAACGATTTTCCCTTTTACACTCGGATTGGAACATCCCTTGACAAGCTCGCGAATTGTAAACAACAGATTCCCAATCCCGCCTCCAGCAACATCACTACGTTCGTAAGCTCCCTTGAGCATATCGAACACGATCCTTTCGGTACCAGTATCCGCATGGACATGCCCAAACCCAAGTAACCTAGGCCTGACTCTCCATAGCGAAGGCTGGGTTGACGGTTGTGAGGGATCGGAGATGCGAAAGCAATCGACGTTGTGAGTGGGGTTTGCGGGGATGATTTGATGCCCAGTGTACAGCTCCTGCGCAAGGAAGACACAAGGCTGAGCCAGGACTTGTTCCCCCGGCGTGGGTGATTGTTGATTGCGGTCACCGAAGGTTGGACGGGAGTGAAGACTTTGATGTAGTCTGAACGAGATTCAGACCTGGGAAAGAGGGTTACCTAGGTGATGTTGGCCTTGAGCAATTGGGTAACCTCAGGGTGTTTCGGAAGGTACGACTTCTGCCTTCCTCTTGGGGTCATCTCTACCTCGATCACCGACAATTGCTAAAGATCCAGCCTACGTTGGATTCGTTGAAAGTCGTGACATCTCCATATGTGACCATTGGCCACTGCACCGAGCGATAGACTTACCTGACTAGGTTTGAAGATGTAGTGGTAGTTGGAGGGTGCATCTATATCTACCAAGTCATCTTAGAGTCGAAACTAGACTTCATTCTAGATAGAAAATAGTTTGATTTGGTTGTTGCATCACTTTGACCAACCACGAAATTGACCAGGCGTTCAAATAGAAAGGGGAATTGCAAGTCCCCGGATAGGCACTCAGGGTCTCGACAAGGTCAATATCCAACTTGCGACATGAGGGAGGATTACGATAGATGGTTAGTTCTGGAATCGATCTGCAAATGGTGTACATTTTTGGCAGGGTGAAACCCCAACATGCGGCTATATCCCGTCGTAAATGGAAGCCGGTTGGGGAACTCAGGCGGTATATAAGTTGAAAAAGAAAGTAATGGAGAGACGAATTTAATTTCGCTGCGAATGTCCATGGGGGGAAAAAAAGATATCATTGAAGCGACTCCGCAAAATGCAAACATGAGTTGAGCTTAGAAAGCAAACGGGTACTCGGACCTAGGGCCCACATGAGACGAGAATATATCCGCGCGAGATGTTGAGATGATCAATCACAATAAGGCGGGAATACGGAAAGCGTAGTGCGTCTCCTTAAACAACCTGGGAAGACACGTCTTTGTCTTCCTCATCCTTCTTGTAGTTGTCGAGATTCGCCATCTTTCCATCCTTGCTCTGAGCCATCTCCTCTTTCTCTCGCCTGTGGCGTTCGAAATCCAGGGGCACATGGGCAAGTCCACGGGCACCTGTGCGTCGGATTCGCTGCTCGGTGCGGGACATAGGTCGGCCCGGAGTATCAGGAGCGTAAGCGACCTCGTATCCTCTGGTAGTGCGATTGAGTGTCAGACGCGGGGGTACATGGGATGTTGGTTGGGAAATTTTCCGGGCGTGGTACTTGTCCACGATTCGGGCGACAGGGTTTCTGTTTGGGTCGTGCCATGGTTCTCGGCTTTTTCCAGCCCAACCATCGAAGATTCCAGGGCCAGTCCTCAGCTTCTCAGCCAAGATCCGTGCCCGAGAGAGAGCTATCTCGTCCTCGTCAACTTGACGAGCCCGTTTCAGTCGGGCTTCCTCGATGTACTGGAGTTGTTCTTCCGTAAGACGCTTTGGCTCGCACAACGCTTTGGCTCGTGCAAGCTTTTCTTCCAGCTTTTCCAAGATCGGGAGCTTCGGCATGGGGCGGTTTTCTGCTTTGTATACGGAGAACTTGAAAGGGACATATTCATCTCCTGTGGAAACCTTGGGCACCTTGGTACTTGGACCCTGTTCCTCCGGCTGGGACTCAGTCTGCTCGTCCATCACTCGCTTCTTTTTGAGGACTCCGGACTTCTTGTGCACCAAGGACACTTGCGACTCCGGTGGCAGAGGCTTTTCCTCTTCAAAATGCACAGACCGTTTGAAGGAACCATCAGACACTGCCGCAGGAGCTTTCCCTTTCAGCGAGGAGCGCCTCTTGTGCTGGTGGAATAAATCTGCATCGGTGGCCCCATGCTGGCGTTTCAATGCCCCTTGCTGTCCTAGAGCCACCGAGGGTTCTGGGCTATGGAACAAGGGTGCTCGCGACTGAGTAGTTGCCGTTTCAGGTGAATATGCGTCAGATGTGGTGTCAAATATTTTTGGCTGCCGAAGTGCTTCAAAAAGAGTCCGGGGAGGCGACGAGGCGGTCGATTGAGTGTGCGAGACAGACCTACGCGTGCCCGAAATCGAAGCAGAGTTGTTGATGGGCTTCGAGACAGGAATTTGGGCCTGTGCAGGTGCAGACTGACTGAACACTGAAGTTTCACTCAGCTTGGGCGACTGTAGGTTACCCAAAGACGGGGACAGCCCCAATGGAGGGTTCTCGGGCGTGGGCGCAGTAGTTGCTGAAACATCTGCATTCTGGCTTGACTGCGTTGCCTTGGGAACTGCAAAAACCGAGCTGAGGACTGGGAATTGGCCTGCAGCCGCTTTCGAAGGACCTGAAATGGTGCTAGCATTGTTCACAGAGAACGGTGAGAAGGGCTGCCCAAAGCTCGACATAGGCGCAGTGTCCTTGGCTTTGAGAGCTGTCTCTGGGGCTTTGGGTGCTTGGAATAGGGATGGAGCAGCAGGGGTAATAGTGTTTCCCAGATCCACGGCTGGGAAAGATGGCGGAGCGTTCTGAAACGCAAATGGATTATCCCATGCATTTGTTGTTTGCTGGACTTTGGTATCGCTCTTCAAGGCTGTAGACTGTACAGAGGCGTTTGTGGGACCAAAGGGGTTGGCACCAGAGAATATCGAAGGCGCGAAGAGGTTCTTGGATTCAGTCAATGGTGTGGGAGGCGAGGTGCTGGGCCTGAACAGCGAAGAGGACGCGGTAGGAACTGGTGCTGGTTTCTCTGGCTTCTGAGTTGGCTCTGATAGCTTGGAGAAGGAGAATAGGGACGGCGCAGTGAAGGCACCAGCGCCAGAAGAAAACACAGAGGTAGGGTTGTCCACAGCCGATGCTGCGTGAGGCGAAGTGCTGGGATTGAACAGCGTAGGATGCACTGGGGTAGTTGTCGCTGGAGTCTCTGTTTTCTGCGTCGGTTCTGATGGCTTGGAGAAGGAGAATTGAGATGGCGCTGTGAAAGGACTCAAGCCAGGGGATAGCACAGAACTGGAGCCATTCGAGAAAATGGAGGCGGGTTTATCTGCAATCGACGATGCAGGAGGGAAGAGACTAGGCTTTGGAAATGCAGACGCGGGAGCAGTTGTTGCAGGTGTCTCCGTCTTAAGATTTTCGTACGCTGGTTTTGAGAAAACAGACGAAGCAGAAGAAGCAGAGGCGAAAGCGGACGATGAGGGCGTGGCAGGGGTAACAGACGAAACAGCTGGCTTGTCGGTAGCGTCAGGCTGAGAAGGAGAGGGCTTTGTCTGGAAAAGCGAGGGTGTCGTGGTCAGGGCAGAAGCGTCGGTCTTTTCGGTCTCTTTTGGGAACGAGAACGGATTTGGCGAAGAATTGAAGGGAGACGGCACTGCAGGCGTAACAGTGGCCGAGGGTATCGAATTTGCGAATGGATTTGAGGGAGGAAATGCCATACGAGATGGCTGGAAGGGCGCCGCGAAAGGATTTGGCGGCTTTGAAGCGGCAGGAGGTAGATTTGACTGGAAGAGGGAAGGCGAACTTGCAGCAGTAGATTGTAAAGATTTTTGGGACTCCGAAGCGATCCGAAATTCAGAAGCAGTCGTATCCTGAATAAGGGCGTTGGGTGTTTCAACCACAGGTGCGGGTGTCTGATTATCAACATCATCCACGAAGAGATCCCCATCTTCGGCCTCGGCTTCAGGCATGGTTTCACTCTTTTGAGGCAACTGGGAGCGATCTATCATGCCCATTCTTGCGGCTTCACTGATGTTCATGCCGAGAATGATGGCAACAAGACTACGTCCTGCGCGCTTCGACTCCACATAGGTTTCAGAGAAAGAGTGGTCAGAGGAAGGGGCAAAGTCTGGGACGCTGTTAGTGGCAAAACAAAGAGACAGGAGAAAATGGGATGGGAAGCTATCACGAAGTTGGGGTGACGAAGAGAGGCGAGGTAAGAAATGAAGGAAAACGAGGTTAGGCTGAGATGAAGTTTTTAGAATTACTTACCCACAGAGTCTACTGATCGATCACCCCAATTGAGATAGAGTCCACCACTAGCGTTCTCCACAAACTCTAAGCCCTGTGCATTGCAATATTCAATTGTCTGCTCGTCGTCGTCAAAGTGCAAAACCTTGGTTAATTCCTCCACAGTCCAATGGTCATTTTTGGATTGCTGTGACAGCGGAGTTCGGCAGTAGGCTTTCCAGATTGCACGGATTGCTGTCTGACGAATGTGGTTGAAGTAAACCTCAGCCACACAGGCCATCAGATATGACACACTCGGGGAATTGACGATGTTGAAGAAGCGGGCGTAGAATCCCTGAGCCACTGCGTTCGGTCGGCGAGAATCCAGCGCACCTTGAGGCTCCCATGTATTACAGGCAGCAGCAAAGAGTTCCAATGCCACCTGCACTCGAGGCGAAGCAAGTAGGGCGGTTGGCCATTTCTGGACACGGGCTTCCAGGTCAGGCCGCTGGTCGTGGATCGAGAAGAGGATGTGGTAGGCGCGAAACTCATCCTCGTTGGGGAAGTGAATGCGCTCACGGTTGTCATCGTAGTAGTACATGAGAGAGAGCATGGTATTGTTGAGTTGCTCACGCTCCTGGTGACGGTCGAATTGCTCTGTGTTCGCCGGGTTAGAAAGAAGATGTAGGGACACGATATGAAATCGCGCAATCCTCTCTAGACAAACTACCGCTGTCTTTACATCCTCTTCTTGTGTAAGTTGCTGCACTGAGAAGTCGTTTCGGATTGATCGTGTTCGGTTCCAGACAAACATGTGAATGACGGCTAACGGTTCACCACCATTGATCACATAACGGATAAGATAGTTCATGGTTTGTAAAAGTGTCTTTGGCGTCCTGATATCCGAGGGCAATTGCTCATCATTTCCAGCTGCCGCACGCCGGAAGCGCTTCACCATCTTGGTTTCCATAATTTCCAGCTGGTTCGTTGCCGGATTGTAGTGCTACATTTGCGTGTCAGCGTGGCGCCATGAGTGGCAAGCGGCGTATCATCACCTTTTCACATTTATCGACTGCTTTCTGCACGATCCGCTCCACCCTCTCGAAATCGGGACACATGCTGGTGCAGGTACCCACAGGTGTGATAGCCTGTTTCAAGGAAGTCGGCTGGTTCGGGTCTGCCATTTGCCCATCCTTGATCGCCCGTTCGCGCTGTCTCACTTGATCGATTTTTAGCTGCGGATATGGTTAGCTCCATGGTTGTGCTGTCCGTTGTAGAAGAAGAGCAGACTGACTTTGTCAAAGCGTTCCTGGTAATTGTTCAACGTCGATGCATGCTCCATGGATGCGGCAACATTAGATCCCCCGCCAACAAATTTCGTCGAGGACTGTTGTTTCTTAACGCTCGTGGGTTGGGCGAATGGGTTTTTGGCGACGCTCGAAGCCGCTGAAAGTCTGGAAAACGGAGAATGTTGAGCGGGCTGAGCGGGCTGAGCGCCGAACAGCGATGCAACAGGTTTGTGTTGATTTGGTTGCCCGAATAGCGAGTTGGCAGCACTAGGCTTGGGGCCCTCCGTGGGTTGTTGGGATCCATTCACGGTGTGGGTTGCAGCGCCTGCGCCGCGACCACGACCACGAGCCGTCCATGTCACTGACCCTCGACCACGCCCTCGAGCCCTCGCTGCACGAGGCGCACCTGACCCTCTCGGCACATATGTTGACGTATGCTCACCTCTTCCCCGCCCGGTTGAGCCTTGCACGCCCGGCGCGCCTCCCCTGTGACCGCGGCCCACAGAAGGATTAAACGGGCTAGCCATCCTGCCCGCAAAGAGCGGAATAATCTGGATAGGCCGCCGCCTCTTAGAATAGTTCCACCAATAACTCTATGGTGAATTTCGGGTTGAATTTTTGAGGTAAATAATTCCGATTTGCGATGATCGGCAAAGTCGATTGCGCAGAGATCTGAAAAGTTGTTCGCTATTTGCTGGAGTTAATGCGCCGAGGCGACAACAAAGAAGTCAGCCTATGTCACAAAGCCGCGAAGGGGTGGCCAGGATGGCCCCATACTGTACGGAGCAGACAGCGGATGGATACAAAGGAAGTCGTAGGACAAAGCTGAGCACATGGATGGATTCGGGGATAGGTATTCACGCTACCTGTCAGTAAACTCACAAGTCTTTTGTTTTCAGGGGTCGTGCAAGCGACCTCACGGCCTTGTTGCTTTTAGTGTTTGTGAATGGTTGGGGATTGTTAAAGCTCGTGACGCACGCGCGTCGGAGTTTGCGATAGTACCGTGAACTGGAAACGCGGCACCGAGGAATCAGTCCCGCAACGAAATCCACATGAGTATGAAGGCTGGAGTGTAAGAACTCACTGAGAATAAAGCGATTGAAGAGGATGGAAATGAAAGTTGCGCCGTGCTCACGAAGCTTCAAGCTGAGCGGAGTGGCTCCGCTTACTCCGCTGACCAAGCGCTTATGGCGGCACACGCTTGCGTCTAATTGGCCGCGGCTGGAGCGAGTTATTGAATTCCTGTCTATGCTGGGGCCAATTAGATGAAATCTTCTTAATGACAATAGGAGTTTTTGAGAATAGCTAGCAATGACCAGATTGTATTATATTATAAGCACACATCAGTCCACACATTGGGGCCTCCCGAGTTCTATTCATCTGGATTCAGGGCAGGTATTATGAACTACACATGAAGTGACAAGAGAGATCCGAACCTCAGAATCAAGTATAATGTAATATATAGAGCTATTGAGTCTGAGAAAAGTACTAGGCCGAAGAGAGAAACAGGGATTGAGTAGAATTTCACAAGCACATAGAAGACCAAAAGGGAATCCTATGCTCCAACAAGTACAAGACCAATCAAGACCAATGCATCTACTTCTATCAAGGCAGGGTGTAACCGCAGCTATAACCTTGACCATCTTCTAGGCTACACCTGGGACGAAAAACCAAACAAAGGAAGGTGAAAAATTTGGAAGTTCAAAAAGGCCGAGCTGGGTCTCGTATACAGTCTAATCCATTTAAGCCTGCGCCTTTCAGTGCCGTGGCATCCTTTTTTTTTAGCCTGGAGTACAAGTAACCTGATTGATCTCTTCTCCTAAAATCTGGCATTAACGGTCAAGTCTGTTTGAATCCATCGTCAACGTAGCCGTAAAATGAATCCTAAACAATTTCTACGTTTGATGGAATACCGGTTTCCCAACGCTCGATGAGATTTTCTGACATGATTCTGCTGCATGGATTCTCTCAGTGGTCTCTTCATATCTTTGTGCCAGCAGGACTGAGACTAGTTCAAGGGAATTGACTCGACGCTGCGCAGTTTTGCAGAGAGATGCGAGAGTCTTGTCCCTGGTCACACATTGAAGGTTGTCTAAGTCTACTGGATTCTGTGTTGGAGAGACTGGAGATTTAATATTTTGATGATACAATGTAAAGATGCAATCTAAAATAGGCTATTGTTGATAAAAGACACCGTGCAGTTGCAAGTCTTTCGACTGAGAATTACGACCTAATTGGATATAAGTTACCCATGACAAGATCATGAGATTAGAAAGACACTAAAGAAGACTTGGTAGCATATTATCAATAGAATAAATTTGTAAGTATCTACCAAATCTCATTTATCAACAGCCCCAAACATGTTGGAGAAGCCCATATTCACAAACATAATCAAAATGATCATACAGATAAGCAGATCAGGAAAAGGCCAGAACGAAAAGAAGCAACAGGTCAACACCAAGAAAGAAAAAGAAAAAAAAAAGAGGCAAGACCACAAAAGGAAATTGGAGAAAGAGACCGGAATAGAAACCACTTCAAATCAACACCCCCAAATATTTTCCAAAAAAAAAGAAGAAGAAGAAGAAGAAGCCAACAGACCCATTTGTACCCGCACCGGTCGAGATGACCCCCCAAGTCTTGATACCCAAGACAAATCCCAAAGAACGACATCAACTCCCCTGGCCAAGTCTTGTGATGAGCGCTAAGTTTGTTGACCAGAGCCATCACTCATTTAAATGTTCGTTAATACCCATGTCCATTACCATGCCCCCCTAAGCCGCCATCCTCAAGTCATTTTGGGCAAGAACCCCACGTCCCCTTTTAGACGGTGTGGGAGAGAGTCATCCCGTTAGGTGGTGGGTGGCCTAGTGACCCTGTGCGGAAAGGCAGGGATCTTTGGTGAATGGAGTCCATGTGGGACTGCTGGGCATGGTGATGGGACATGTCATGCATGTGCGATACCATGGGCATCTGGTATGTCATCGAAGGCTGGGGCATACCCTGGCTAGATGTCGGTGTAGCGTAGTCAACCTGGCCAAAGATGTTCTGGCGGAAAGATGGGGTCCAGGTATCGTAGTGGCCGCTTACTCCCGCGCGCGGATCGGGTGTAGAGTGTGGGTAGGTGGTCTGAGCGGAGTAGTCGAAGGCTGAGACTGAGACGTCATGGGGGCTAATCATCTCGGTTGTCACGGGAGTGCTGATAATGGGCTGCGAGAAGGAATCGGTGTATTGAGGAGGTGTGTTGTAGTAGGGGCGATCCTGGCGGGTAGGGTTTTCGAAGGTCAGAGGCTCCGCCATGGAGAAGCTGCCAATAACGGAGCGGGCTGATGTGAGATTGTCGATAGGTGTGGTTAAGGAGGTGGATGCTTGCTCGAATGACGAGATGGGAGTCATTAATCCTTGACTGGTGTTCTCGGGCTCCTCAATAGTGACCGAGGTCGCGGAGTCATCTTCTTCGTCGCCCTTGGGACTAGGGCCGCGATTCATAGTGTAGACGACCATGTTGGCATCGACTTCGCCTCGTTCAAAGCGCTCCTCCATCTTACGAACCCGGAGGATTTCGTAGATGATCGCGACGTGTGATGCATGCTTTAAGCTCCGCTTGGTGTCGCCAGCAACATCCTTGAGCTTATCGGCAGTAATACCGTAAGCACCGAGCTTGCGGATAATGTGAAGCAAGAGCTCAATGCGGTCTATGGAATTAAGTAAGCAAGTAGGCTAACAATCAAGAGCTCAGGCCAATCATACACTCTTTCCTCAAGTGGTCAGGTTCCTTGTGCATCACACCGGGAGGCCACCACTCGGGCTTGGTCTTTTCTGGGTCACCCGTCGTACCGGGGGCGGATCCTGCTGGTGGCTTACCACCGTTGTACGGGTGTCGCACTTGCTTGCGAGGCTCGATAAATTTGATGAATGCCTTGGCAACCATGCGGCAGTTCAGCTGTTGGAAGTGCTTGAGTGCACCTTCGTAGTAGGCCATCACCTTTTGGGCGTCTCCGATGCGGAGAGGAACCATCTCAGCAGACCCGCTCGGAAGCTCTTCGCTATCAGTGTCCTGCTCGGCAAGGCGGTCTTCACTGACAGAAACAGCAGGAGCGTTGCCCTTACGACGTCTCACTCGACGAGGAGAGGTGTCCAGCGTCTCTGTATTTCTGCCATTAGCATAGATTGATGGGGCTACGGGTGTGGAGTTTTTAACATACGGCGCGCCGGGGCATGATAGCCAATACGTTCTCCCAGAATCTCTAGGAAGTTCTGACGGACTTCGGAGGTGAAAATCGTGGAGTTTTGCTCTTGAATAGAAGATGATTCTTCAACCTTGAGCTTGCCATCCCGGTCCAGGTAGATCATGGCAAAATGAGCATAAGGAGGATGGAAGGATGACCGGGAGTTGGCCATCATTGGCTAACCACGAGGTCAGTACAATAGAATCCAGGATTCTCCCCAAGGAAAACCTACAGGAACATCGCCCCATCCCGGGGGTCCCTCGAGAGCTGAAGCAGACCTCTTCATGGCGCCGCTTGTTGGTTTGCTGTAAACCATTGTGGCGGGGTGGTATAGGTTTGTAAAGTGAAACCGCAATCGTCTCGAGAAGGGTAATTGAGTCACAGCGAAGATAGATTGTTAGGATACCAGAAATGAGAGTGACGTTGGGTTTAGATGTTGCACGACCAGGAGAGACCGTTCTCTTTATAGATAGTGTTGCTCGAGTGGCGGGGTTGCGATTTAGTGCCAATTAGTTGGTACTAATGCTGCAGACTCGCGGTTAGCCAACTGCCTCTACGCATCTTCGGCAGCACCAGTCCGTCCCCGGGTGAAATGGTCCCTGAACCAACGGCGGAAAGGTCCTGTCCGCTCCGGTTTGGGAACCAGTAGGACAAACGCTCGGATTCCGACAATCGGGACCCAATCAAGCCCTCACTAACAGAACCAGAAGGTGGGATGTACTCACACGGTTCGAGGTAACAATGTGCAGATATCTCAATAGGGATAGAAAGCGGATAACTGCAGCACAGTGACTGTTCGTAACCGGGATGCAACAAAAGCCTCCACTTTTTTGTGTTCCGTAAACGAATGGTGAGGTTGGAACAGTTGAGAATAAAATCTCTTGATAGGAGATCTGATCAAGTGGGAATATCTTTTAAATAAAGCTGAGGGAGTATAGAAATCCAAAATCAAAATACGAAGGGGATATGCAAGCCCTTTTCAGTTCTAGTCTTTAATGTGCACCGTGACAAAAGGACGACTTTTTTTTTCAAAAAAAAAGAGAAACCTATTTAAACCAGCATGGATGATCCTAGAAGCCGAGTCTCTGATCGTATGCATACAGCGAGATTGGCGCATTCAAAGGACATGCAGTAGCTTAGACTTGACCCGATCCAGGATCCCTGTTCCACACTATTTGTAGATCGCCGGTTTTATTAATTTGGTGAAATCTTGGGTTTTCTTTTCTTCCTTTTTTATTTTAATTTTAGATTTTATTTAGATTTTATATTTACGGAGTACAATCTTAAAATTATTCCATAAAGAAAAAAAAACTTCATGTCGGGGCAAACCCCAAGAGTGGCGTTCAACATCGATCGACCACCCCCCACAGGCCTCATGGCTTGCTGTCAGTTCAAACCACTCAACCTGATCCCTCGACTAACTGTTAGTATACGAGGCAATGCGTGGCCTAGACCTAGTCATACAGATGTCTAGCATGGCAAATACAAACCTCTGAACCATTTAAGCACTTGCGTCTAGCTGTCAGGCACACCAAAATGCCCTCGATAGGAAGACGCACAGGCCCTATTTGACGCCGTGTGGGTGCTATTCTTAAGGTGCAGATCGCAAAGCTGTCGGAGGTTCCGGTTCAAAGAATTCGTCATCGGTGGTGCTGTAAATCCAAAGAAAGGAACGCACTAAAAATGAATCATGATGTCTATATTATCTTACATTACAGTAGATTACCTGTGACTTCAATTTGAAGACTCTCATATTATCCACGGAGCATTTTGGTGTTCTCGATCTTCGGATCTCAACAAAGTGCCCCGACACTAGCAACCAACCAAGTAAAACGAATCCACTCTTCTCCAATCTTCGTGAACCTATCAAAGTGCGGCTTGTGCATGGCCCAACATCCTGGCACCTGGGAGATGACTCGCCGATAAACTGTCAGTGACTCTTGTTTTTGGTTTTTGGTTTTTGGTTTTTTCTTCCCGTCTTGAGCTTGGAGCTGGCCGTCGATCTCCGTTCATGGACCAGATGGCTTCTCCCGGGTGGCAACCCACCAACAGTGGGTTTCTGGGATCAAAGACCTTGGATTCAGCTGAGGATGGCATGGCCGAAGACACCCCCCTGAGATCAGACCTCAAATCTCGCCAAATGAGACCAAATCAAGTCATTCTCATAAGTTGAAGCGATAGGGGAATGAAAAAAAGTACCAACTAATACAACTATAGCTCTCGCTTAGACCGATTTATCCGTGAAGATGGACTGTAATCAATTCAAAAACCGCTCTAGGACAGATCGAGATAATAGAGTGTTTTGGCATCCCAATACCACGGCATGATCTCCTCTCTCCCGGGGACCAAAAATTGGTTGCAAAATGGTTCGAGTCATCATCCCATGGCGGGTTAGTGGCGGTACTTTTTTTGACGTCTAGGACTTCTTGTGACAGCCCAATCAGGTCCCTTCTTTTTTTTCCCGCCCCCCCGCTTGAGTCTGTGCTCAGAGTCCAGGGGAGAAAGAATTCCGTACCCAGAATTCTGTCAGCGCGTTCATCTCCCGTCCCGGTGGATTACACTGGCGTTTTTTTAGGATACACGACTCTCTACACTATGGCTCTTGAATTCACCCGGAACAAAAGAAGATGTTCATCCCAACTCAAGTCGGTCAATGCTACCCCCCCCCCAAAAAAGGGGGACAGGATCTAAAACACTCTAACCTACTATATCTTCTTTACTCTCTTGACATGACAAAAGGGGACTACATCTCTCCTCGGTCCCACTATCCATCCACGCTATATCACGGAGGACGCAAGAGGCATAGAATTTTTTTTTTATGCACAAACAACTCCAATCAGATCGGGGTACTTTGAGCATAGAGATCCGATCAATCTAATCGAAGTAAACCTACTATCGATTTTATGTTATACTTACCTAACATTGTAACATCTCAATTGCCGTGCCGTCCGCAGCAATAGTGTTGAACTGCAGTACCTTTTGCAGGTTGCATGTACTAACCTCCGCGGAAGCAACGTACAACGTCAATAAAGTGGGGGGGGAGGGGGGGGGGGGGGGGGGGTTTCGTTTTTAGCTTGCCGCAAGGCATAGAACAAAAGCAACGTCATCCAACTAAAACAGTTTTTAGGGAAACCGTCCGTCATTTGTCAATTATCATTATTTTGGGTCTCTGACGCAAAACCCGCAACACCAGACATACTCCGATAAATTTGATCAAGTAATCAAAAAAACAAAAAGTCTCTGGCTTCAGCGGTGACATCCCTGGAGAGTGTTTCTTTGTTCGTACCTCTTCTATAACTTTTTCCTCGGGTTGTTTGCTTCCCATAACCTGTTCCCTGAGTTGCTACGTCCGCTGAGCCGCGGATTTTCAAGTATGGGAATCAAGCGGACTTGTCCATTCCGTAACCTACTTTTAGAGATCGCCGGGGAAAAGAAAACAACAAAAGTCTCCGGTCCATTTGAAATCACGGATTGCTCCGAAGGTACGGAGTTCGGAGTATCGTACAACATACTACTCCGTCCGGACTGCGGAGTTACCATGATCAATACTCCGTGTTTCTCTTTTAGTTTGAATAGTGTGAGGGTCTAGAATGTAAACGCGCCCCCCTTTTTTCTCAAACATGTCAGAGATCCTCAGGCTTGAAGCATTTTGACACTGGCAAATGCAAGCTTTTCATTGGGCGGAAAAAGATGATCCCAACCCCAAACGCTCAGACCAGCCACAACCGAGCCACGACGTGGCTGAGACGATGATCCGCACTGTCACAGGGTCTAGGACAACTGAGGGGACAAACAGGTCTGCACTATGGACTTCAGATGCAGCCAAAGAAGCGTTCATGGCCCCAGACCTTAATTTGCGTGAAGATTCTTGAAGATTTCGAACCCCAAGACATGCGTCAGGAAGTGCTAGGCAGTGACCAATACCACACTAGTTTCAGAGCAAACATTTTATGAGTGCATTAAAAAGTGTGTGACCGCCATTACCACTCACACTACGTTGTCCGATCAAGAACAGATTTAGGGCGCGGAGTTGTTCGGCCATGCAATCACCCTGAAACCCCCAAATCAGGCGTGGACTTGGCTCGGCGCGGACTCGACGGATATGTGACAGCGGGTACGCACTGACGGGAAGAAAATAACTGGGGGGGAGGGGCCGGTCAGAGAGTTGGGGATAGCTGTAACCATCACACGATCGCGGTAGGGTTGGAGATTCGGCGATCTACATTTCCCAACAACTTTATGTCTGTGCCCGTCGCACACTTCTGGAACAATCGAGAGAAGGTCCTGGGCTGAATTAAATGGACTGGGATATTGGTGAGTAAGTTCACACCGCTACGAGAGTGTCAGGCGCGCACAAAGCAACCTTCGGGAAGGGAGGGCGAGGGGAGAGGGGGGGGGTTGGGGGGGGGGGTTTAAACGGACTTCGGAGAATGACCTGATGGGTATCCTTTACTTCGGTATTTGATGATCTAATGGTGAATCCGGAGCTGATGTTTATGGAGATCTATATAAGCAATTCGAGGGAAGGGGGGTGGGAGTATCTGCAAAGTGTGAGTTGATTCGCTTAAAGTGTCCGCGGGAATCGCGAAACGGTCGTTTCTAGACTGCATGATGGGGGGGTGCTACAGAGTACAACAGGTGAAGATACTGTTGAGAGGCAACCTGCGCGCAGGACTGATGGAAGGCGAGTAGATGTCCTAATTAGGCAAGAGTTGGCTGCAACAGAGTCTCGTCGGAGAGAAAACATCAGGGCCTATCAAACCGGCACTCAAATTGGATCGTCGGGACGGACAGGACTAGTGCAACTTGCTGCGCAAATCCGAGCCACCACCAACAAGATTAATGTGCCTTATTGATCGATCGAGCTCGATCGAACCAAGAGAGACTGGCGTTGCGTCACCCAGCACCCGCTTTTTTTTTTTTCCCCCACCCCCCGGGGCGTTTTGTGGCCGAAGCCGAGGACCGGTAGGAGCACTCCCCAGACACCATTTGGTACCCTTTTTTTTTAAGGTCTAAGATTAGCAGGGCGAGGTTCATGATCAGAAGGACAGCGAGACTTGCGCCGGTACTTTGGGGATTGACCAATCATCGGTCACCGATGGCCTTTTCAGAGACTGTGGAGCCATGCATCGGGTCCCCAATCCAATCTCGGACCCTGGGGCCCAGACTCACCACAAAAGCCAATGGATCCGGGGATGGCGGTCCGGTAAAAAAACCAAAGCTGTCAAAATCCAGACATGGTCTAGTTTGGTCTCCACTATCCCAAGGGAAAGGTCAAAGTTGAGAATCAGAGAGCCTTTGGACTCTACCCGGCAGGTTGGAATAGATGCAGAAACCAACCCTCGCTGGATTTGATCACCGCATTCAACTCCAGGCTAGAGTTTCAGGAGGCGATATCTGAAAGGCGAACGAACTCAGGCATTGCAAGACGTTGGCTTAGATCGGACCAGGTTTGTATCATCAAAAGTCCCATTCTCGTGTGCCCTAGTGATAGTGGTGTTGATCATCGCTTCTAGG